GGGGGTCCCTTCTTATAGTTATGGTATGATATACCCCCGAACCCTATTCTAATTATTAAGGCCCCAACATTAGGGATGACAAGCTGTTCCAGACACATCACATCTACTCCCAGGTTCTTCCTCAAAGAGACCCCTTGTAGTAACCGTTGTAATGCTGCTCAAAGCACCTTGAAAGCTGGTAACCCTAAACCCTANNAATCTAAGTGGAGGCCCAAAGGCCCACAAAAGTATGAGGAGCATTCCCATGCCACTAAAACCCTAAACCCTAAACCCTAAACCCTAAACCCTATTGCAGGCTCTATGGTCCACTTAATCTGACGCCCGGATAATGCGACATCCGAAGCCAGAAACCCCAATGCCTAGACCCCAAACCGCCACAGTCTTAAGGATACGTCATGTTCACAGCAAGTCTGCCAAGCCGCCACTGCCGGAAACGCGGTGGCAACCCATCGAGTCGACTGAGATGCTGCTTTAAGGCTCTCACGTCTGGCACCTCCTGGGTTTGATCTGTTTCGGCTTCAGAGTTCCGTTTCCCTAAACCCTAAACCCTAAACCCTAAACCCTAAACCCTAAGGGCTTGGGCTTAAGACCAAAGGTCCCGGATCCAAGCGTGCAGACTGGGGATGGGGGCCTTTAGGATTAGGCTCCACACTCAACCAAGGCGCCTTCATAGAAGGGTTTAAGGGTTGAGGGTTTAGGTTAGGGGTTTGGGGTTGAGGGTTTAGGCTTAGTTTGGGGGTTTAGGGTTGAGGGCTCCTTGAAGGGTTTCATAAGATTGTTTTGGTGGTTGAAAAAGGGGGTCTGAGTAATTCGAGAAGGTTTCGGGGTATTACACAGACTCTAAGGGGACAATACTACTCAGTATTCAACCGGTCATGAGCTCAGAATACGAGGTTTTGGTCAGTGGTGGTGGTGGTGGTGGTGGTGGTGGTGGTGGTGGTGGCGGCGGCGGCGGCGGTGGTGGTGGCTGTCGCTGCTACTGCGGCAGTGGTTGTGGTTGTGGTTGTGGTTGTGGTTGTGGTTGTGGTTGTGGTTGTGGTTGTGGTTGTGGTTGTGGTTGTGGTTGTGGTTGTGGTTGTGGTTGTGGTTGTGGTTGCGGCTGTGGTTGTGGTTGTGGTCGCGGTTGTGGTTGTGTTTGTTGCTTTTGCTGGTGCTGTTGTTGCTGTTGCTTGCTGTGGTTGCTGTGGTTGCCGTAGTTGCTGTGGTTGCTGTGGTTGCTGCGGTTGCTGTGGTTACTTCGGTTGCGGTTGTTGCGGTTGTTGCCGTTGTTGCTGCTGCTGCTG